GCTCAAACACTGCCTTTAAAACTCTATCTACCACAGTAATTTTAAGCTTTTGACTTTGCTGCAAGAAATCGATAATGGCGTTCAAGTCTTCTCGGAAAAATAGAGCTAGACCAATTACAAATCTACTCCTCTCTTTCAACCACAAACCCTTCTGCAAAGACGTCAATTTGTACTGACACCAAGAATAGCCCAACTTAAGAAGAACTGAAACAAATCAACTTACTTATCCCATGTCTTTTGCTCCCAGAACTACATAGCAGTTTTGAGAGTGTCGGCATATTTCTGCGTAACCGCACTGGGAGGCCCCGGAACACAAGCAAGCTTCAAAATCTGATTCTTTGTTGTGCATTTTCTGCTTTATGGTTAATGCAATTGCTGCTAATATTATCAACACAATAAACCATTCAAACCATCCTTTCGTAGCAATAGGTGAAATAAGGGTATTAATTGCAGGATCTGAACATGCAAAACAAAATGGCCTGCACTAAAAAATGCGGGGTACATTACAGGGTTTTAATCTTTGTTGGAAATTCTTTGTTCGAAAAATGAAGTTTAACTCTGATTAGAAGGCAACGAGGAAAAAGGGCCGAGAGAAATTGGGGGGTTTGAAGGGAGATATTAGTTAGTTTAACGGAGTTTGAGAGTCCTGAACAGTGGGGTTCTTACAAGGTGGTCTTCTTCACTCAATGGTCTTCTTCGTGGTGGCCCTAATGGGGTGGGGTGTAGAGGGGGGTGCAAATTTCTTATTTTTTTAAAGAATGCATATAGTGTATAGACGATTTTATCCTCCCCATTTTGTTAGAAAATGGTCAAAATTTATTTTAGTGGTCAATTGACAATATTTTGGATGAAAACTGTTCAAAAAAGCCTCACATGCAATGGTTGGAAAGGTTAGAGATGATAGCTACAATGTTTGAAAAGTTCGGGAAAATTTTGGGACTTCGTCTACAATTATCCCAATAATTAATTGTATTATACATAGTTTTTAATTAAAAACAAATGTGAATAAGAAAAAGCTATTTGTTTATTGTTCAATTCTATTTAATCCATATTCGACGAGGATTAAAATTAAATTTTTATTATATTTTGATAGAATTTAATAAATTAAGTTGTTAAAAAATTGTGAATCTAATAAAATATATGTTAAAGATTAATTATTTTGATTTAAAAAATTTAATATTTTAACCCACGACTTAATATTATGTAAATATGTGTTCATAAAGTGACCTAAAAGGTTGCTTAAACAAGCAATAAGAAAATGAGTAAGGAGAAATAATCATAGGATAAACACAAGTAGACTATTCGACGCGTGTATTTACCCTCGTAAGTTCAATTGCGAATATCTCATCCATCTAAGGATTCTTTCGTAAAGATATTTTCCTATATGCTTTACGTAAAAGTTATACTAACACTTTCAAGAAATTGAATTAAACAAATTACTATTTTATTAGCTATATTTTTCAACATAAAAAGCTAAGTCCCTATTTGACACCCATTAATTTATTATTATTTTTTTTTTGACAAATAAATTTTGAAATAGTAATTTTTTTTTTGAAAAATGTGTGGTTAAAAGAACGAAAAAAATTTGGATTTACATGCAAAATATTTTATTGTGAGAACGTGCTTAAAAATGAATTTGAGAAACAAATAATTTTGTTTTGATGGTTTTCAAATAGGGGCTAAATATGCCGTACAAATTTACTTTGATACTTATAGATCTTGAAATAAGTCCCTGTTTGGTACAAATAAATAATTAATTAATTAATAAAATATAAGGAAAAATGTTTGAAAATTGTAAATTTTATGAAATATGTTATTAAAATTAATTATTGATTTTGTAGGATTAAAATTAAAAGTTAATCTACACCGAAAGGGGTAAGAACAAACTCTCATTCACGCGACACGATTGTCATTTGTGGAGCTTTAACAAGATATAGCCAATGACTTTTCAATGCTTTAGTTGATTTTTTTATTTATTACTTTTAGCATATTCAAACTTGTCAAAAACAAATAGAGCAAAAAATTAAAAACCTTATTCATTAAAATGTCCAGTGATATTAATGAGTGGTGGTACATGTATAGGTACGGGTTCTGGTTCACAGAATTTATGCCGAACACTCGCATACATCAGGTGAGAGGGTGGGTTTTTTTTTTAATACAAGTGGGTCTTGTGTGGGATCCATTATTTGTGAGTGTTGGTAGGGATTCTATTTACACTCATCATTTTCCGATATTAATGGCAAGTAATTATAGCCCTTGTTTAAGCCGCATTTTAAAGAAAGAATATATTCTAGAATATTAAATTGATAGATAACGTGTGGTTAAAAATTAAAGAAATTTTTAAATTTACATATAATATTATTCTATTGAAAAATGTGTGTTTGAAAATAAGTTTAAAAAAAATGGGGTTCAAACAAGGGCATAAAGCTCCTATTTGAACTCATTTTTTACAACTCGTTTTTTCTCCTAAATTCATTTTCAATCACACATTTTATAAGATTCACAATTTTTCAATCATACATCTCATCAACAGCAAACTTACTAAATTTTTGTTTGATGGTCATTATTGAGATAAAATAATATTTTGAATTGTGATTTTTTGGAGAATGTATGGTTAAAAAGTAGAATATTTTGGATTTACGCGCAAATGTTTTATTGTGTGAATATGTAGTTGAAAATGAGTTTCGAAATTTTGTTTTCAAGGAAGACAATCATGAGGTAAAAATTTGAATTTTAACGAAATCAAACGAGAACAAAATAATCACCCTACACTAAACGCGTATTGCAGGTAATAAAGCATTACGAAATGTTTCCAAGTGACACTTTTTTATCATCTCTTACAAAACGAAGGATAAAGAATCAAACAACAAGAATTTCCTCAAATTCATGGAGATTAAAATCAAATTTTAAATAAAAATTAATGAAATATATATTTGAAAAGGTACGAATATAATGAAATATGTGACTGATATTAATTATTAATTTAGATTATTACGGTATAATTATTATTTGTTTAAAAGAGAAAGTATTGTGAATGCATATATGAAGAAATCTGCTTGCATTATCAGAATGACTGACCCCACAAGAATGCCATGTTTGATGCATCCTCCGCAAAATGGAGGCTGCAGCATATACCCTCAACATCTTCAAATTATTCCCTAATTCCACTCTTCTGTATCTCTAAAAACTAAAGAGAATTTCCAATGGAGAGCCTACTTTCATGGCCCCTCAGATTCCCTTTCTCTCTCTTCCAACTCTACACGGCCCCTCCTCCTACTCGCAATAATATAATTTAATTCTCAATCCCTAAAAGACTCAATTAAATCCTGTCTTCCAAATCACCACGCCATATATTTAATATCATCTAACCAAGCCACCATCATGTCCACTTCTTCTCTCTCTATAAATCCTGCTCTCTCTCCTTTATTCTCAGCATCTGCTTCTTCTTGTTCCTCATCTTATAAAGTTTCTGGCTTTTATAGAGAAACAAAACCCATAAGTATAATTTGTGGTAAAGCTCGATCTTTGGAGTGCAATCTGCTTAAAAGTAGTAGAAGGTTGAGAATATTTAAATCTAGACAAAGACTCTTTATTGCAGCTACCAATAGAGACAAGATGACTCTTACAGAGTACAGAGAAGAGGAAGAAGAAGAGAACCCTCCTCCTTTGCTTGAATCTGAGATGAATTCTAGACCTAGGAGGATTGCTCTCTTTGTTGAGCCTTCTCCCTTCGCGTGAGTCTTTGATTTTGACTATTTTCATTTGCACATTTCTGGCACGTTTGGTGAGTGGGATTGAAGAAGGAAAAGATGCTCAAATATGATTTATTATAATGTCTAGTCCCGTCTAATACTGCATCTGTCAAGCACCTATTTCATGTTTAATGACTCATAGTGTTCTAGCGGGCAAGACTGTCTGATCTTTTTGTTGTTTGAGATTTTCTTGATAGTGCTTGCTTCTTTCTTTTTGATGAATTCATCTTGATGTGAGTTAAACTATGAAGCTAATTGTCTTTGATTTGATTTTACATACGGAGAGAAAGGGAACATTAGTATCAATTGGAGGATTTTGGTTCAAAATGCATTATTAACATGATTGTTTTAATTAATTTTCATTCATATTTAATTGTACCTATGCTTTGAGCCAGCTGTTACTGACTTGGAATTGATTAGAGGTCATTTAGGACAATAATTTCTTGACATTAACTTATAGTTGTTAACAGCTGAAGTTGAAAGGGTTTATTCCTTTAGGATAGCTGGCATCTTCAACACTTTGATAATAATGATTTGTGTATATATTAAGCTACTATGAAACATAATTGCAAGAAAATAATTTAAATTTTTCTATGAGGTGCCACATTTTATTATTTAACATGGAAATCTTTTTCATTTCAATCTTTCCTAAGAATTTTTTTGTAGTTTTCTTGAAGTTGGATGCTTATGACTTGATTATGTATTAGGTTTTCGTTTGGGCTGTGTGCTAATGTTTATGCTGTAAACCAAATTAATCATCTTTTCAAAAAGCTATTTACATCATTTTTATTTTTATTTTTTATCTATATTTAACTGTCAAACTGTCTATAGTTCATTGTTATGGTACACAAACACAGAAAGTGTGTTCATTTTGTCTGTTAGCTGGCTGGCTATAACACTTGTAGGGTCGAGTAAACAACTTGCAAACCATCATTTAGTTTTTTTCTTCAAGACTTTGATTTGTTTGTCTTAATCCATTTGTGCAACTCTCGTCAATCATCTTTATTAAACATTTGGTTTTCTTGCCAGATATGTGAGTGACTCGATTTGCAGGTCTCAATCAGTTATCTTCAGATTTTGCCCTTTCTATGCGTTTCATGTTTGTTTCCTGGGAATATTTTGTCCAGATGTCTTTCCAGTGTCTCTGATTTCATACATTCTCCTTCTTTTGCTAGATAAATGTATATTATAGTGATTGATTGTTCTTTTCAAAATGTATGCAGTTATGTCTCCGGATATAAGAACAGGTTCCAGAATTTCATTAAATATCTACGTGAAATGGGGGATGAGGTATGTTTTCTTTGCATTTTCATCGATACTACTTGCAATAAACTAGAGATATCTTTATTTTTGTAGCTCTCCAAAATTGAACTTAATGTTTTAATAAGTTATGAATGGTCATATTTAGATAATGGTACTAATTTTCATTTTTAGTTATTTAGGTCTGAAGAATTATTTTGTTAATTCGTATTTTGAAAGGAGTGATCCGTATCTAAGTAAAAATGTTAAAATGAATTACTATTCATGGTAGCTATATTGAAGTGTGCGTTTGAGCACTTTCTGTGGGTGTTTCCACACAATTAATCTCTGTTCTTACATGTAAATGTTGGATGCAGGTGATGGTTGTGACAACACATGAAGGAGTGCCGGATGAATTTTATGGAGCAAAATTGATCGGCTCGCGCAGGTTAGTTCGTATGGTTTCTTTTTTGACGAGCAATGGCATTACATCACTCATTTTTCATAATTAACCAAACTATGGGATGGCCGAATCACGTGGTCTGAAGTGTTATAGCTTGTATTGCTTGGCTACTTGTCTATTTACTACCTTTCTTTTATAAGCTAACAGTTTTTAACTCTCTTGGCAGCTTCCCGTGTCCCTGGTACCAAAAGGTACCCCTATCTCTGGCCCTCAGCCCAAGAATAATCTCAGCAGTTGCCGAATTCAAGCCTGACATTATACATGCATCATCTCCTGGTATTATGGTGTGTTTTCATCAGCTTCTTTTGTTACTTCTTCCTTTTAGACAAATATTTTATACGTTTCTTAGTAAAAATCTTCCTAAAAGGAAAACCAGCCCATGTTGCTTTGTTTAATAATCTATTTGCATTCCAGGTCTTTGGTGCTCTCATTATTGCAAAATTACTGTCTGTGCCAATAGTGATGTCATATCACACCCATGTTCCTGTGTAAGTTGAAATTCTTTGATTCCCTCATTAATTATTTTTCTTCTTTATATCTGTATATTGACATTCAGCAACTTTGTAATGTTGGCTCATTATGGTTCTACTCATGCAGATACATACCGAGATACACCTTCAGTTGGCTGGTCCAACCGATGTGGATGGTTATAAGTATGAGATGCTTTTCCTTCCTCTCATAATTCAATATTTAAATTTTGGTGTAGTCGAAGATAATAAATGTTTAATGATGTTTCTCCAGAATTTCTTCATCGAGCTGCTGATCTTACACTAGTGCCTTCTGCTGCCATTGGGAAGGATCTTGAAGCTGCTAGGGTGACAGCAGGTGAAAATTGAAACTAAAATCTTGAATCCAATTGATTAGTGCCTAGAATCAATATATCACAGCCTCACTGTTCTGTGTGAAAAGATACCTGTTTTTCCAAAGATCCCAATAAAATTTCACTTTATTTTACATAGTTCTCAGACATTGTGTTTCATGGCAATTTGTGTGTCTCTGGAGCAGTTTGAATATTATTTTATCTCCTTTTCATATATTCAGCTAACAGGATACGTCTATGGAATAAGGGTGTTGATTCTGAAAGCTTCCATCCCCATTTTAGATCCCATGAAATGCGAGTAAGATTAAGGTAAACAACTGCTGCTTCTGTGCTATTTTCACAACTTCGTAGTTGGCTTCAACTTTGCTTGACAAAATTTCATTCTTGATTAGCAATGGAGAACCCGACAGACCATTGATAGTCCACGTAGGGCGGCTTGGAGTTGAGAAGAGCTTGGAATTCCTCAAAAGGTATTTGGTTTTCTGATTTTGGGCAGGACCTTTGCTCATAGAAGTCTCCCCGAGTGTAGTAGTTAATTTACCACTGACTTCTGTGATTGATATATAGTTAATTTACCACTGACTTCTGTGATTGATATATGGAACAGTGTCATGGATAGGCTTCCAGAAGCTCGGATTGCTTTTATTGGGGATGGTCCGTATAGGTGAGATGCAATAACTTTTAGCTGCTTTTGTTCTGAAATCAATGCTTCAAATTATATTTTCTATCTAGCTAAAGAATTCATTATTAAATGGGATAGTTAATTGGATTAACCATCTATGAAATCCTTATATGGTTGTGAATTGTTTGCTTTGATGATTTTGTAAATTTACACTTTTATCATTTAATCACGAGTAGTCAACAGCATTTCAAATTCTGATGGTGGTACCGAAGCTCATTAACTGGTTGGACCACAAGGGATAGGGGAAAAGATGGACACTGGTGGTTTGTTTGGTAGGAATCACTGGATAGTTCTGGACAGCATTAAGGAAGAAAATAAGCTAAAATTTTGTCTTCACTAAATTGTCAAGTCTTGTCCAGTATTGTTAATCGAATATGCACTGAACGGGCATCGAAGGTCCTCGTGATTTTGAGATTAGTAACTACATTATGAATCCACAAGGCATGTCTGTTTCTGTTTTTGCTTGGATTTGTTCTGCCAGGACAATACAAACAACTAACCATTATATACTGTTAAATGAGGAGAAGTATTAATATAGCACGAATGTACTAGTATTTGTTCCTGACTAAAGATGACCCACAAATATATTAATTGCACGTTGTTTCTTTGTTAGAGAGGAACTGGAGAGGATGTTCTCTGGCATGCCTGCAGTATTCACAGGAATGTTACAAGGAGAGGAGCTATCACAGGCATATGCTAGCGGAGATGTTTTTGTTATGCCTTCAGAATCCGAGACACTTGGACTTGTCGTTTTGGAGGCCATGTCATCAGGACTTCCCGTGGTGGCCGCTCGTGCTGGAGGAATCCCTGATATCATTCCTGAAGAACAGCAGGGTAAAACTGGTTATTTGTTCATTCCTGGAGACCTCGACGACTGCTTGAACAAACTGAAACCCCTTTTGCACGATCAAGAACTTCGAGAAACTATTGGGAAAGCAGCACGTGTTGAAATGGAGAAGTATGATTGGAGGGCAGCCACACGGAAGATACGTAACGAACAATATAATGCTGCGATTTGGTTCTGGCGTAAGAAGAGAGCCCAGTTCTTACGGCCATTCCAGTGGTTTTTTAAGCGCATGTTCCAGCCTCAGGCCCGTGCAATTGAATTATAAGTGATTCATTCTATTTGCTGGATAGTGAAAATCATATAATTGGATTGTCTGAAAAACAGGTATCTGGATTGTACCATATTTGACCTTGAAGAATGGTCGGCCATTGTCTTATTGATACATTGGATTGATTTAGATGTAATTTCAGAGTGTAATTTAACGGGGAAAAAAAAGATTAAAAAAAAAAGAAAAAGTTGCTAGCTTGGTTGTGCTGTTTCTTCTATATACTTGAATTGTTCTGCCTTTTGTACTTGGTGAAATCAACTTATATATAAAGTTTCTTTGTAAAGAGGTCTGATTCTTCATTTATATTCCACACAATTTACCTGCAAGGGTTAAAGGTGAAATCTCTTTTTCTTGCTATAAATTTCGTGGGAATGTTTCAGAACTTGAGAAGACCTTAATCTCTTGTTCTCGTCAGTTATAATGTCATGTGGACTCATATTAACTAGTTATCTCTACCTTCCTCTTTACATGATAGAATGCTAACTAGAATTTTATATCTCAATGATAATTGAAGACGATCTTGGGATCCAGATATTTCTCCATTTGACTCGAATGCTCCGAAAAAACTCTAGATAAAGAAAGGTAGATCAAAATGTGGAACCCGTGATTTTTTCTTCAGACAATGACATTGCACGAACCGGTAGGACATAGATGGTTTATATGTTATAGCATTTCAACTTTGAGTCTACATTCATGTTGGTCATTTTTCAGTACTTCGGCTTTATTATTGGTGATGCTCAACCGACAAATAGGGGACCATAGGGACATCATTTATTAATAACCATAGCGTACCTTCTTCAACTAATCTTTAGTTCAGTTAATATCTACAAATTACAATGGTTGTTATCGAACATGAATGGCCATCAGCTGTCAATGCTATACAAGACTCCCTCATTGTATCCACTCGATCAAAACAAAAATCCAATCACAGGTCAGATAATTGGCCAAGTCGGAGAATCTCTATCGACAATGGATCTTCGAGGAGTAAGTATACATTTTGTTGTCTACTATCTCTCGAAAAGAAGTGGACAGCACAAGTAGTCGATGAGATTTTATACATCCTTACAACTGAATTATATGAACTTTTACCATTAGCAACTTTAGATTTTTCATACTAATATTTGCTACATAAATCTACAATCTGTTTTATATGTTAGTTTATGCAAATGATGATTTTATATTAAAAGATTATGTGCTCATTCTTGGTTCTTTCCACCTTTACTTTTTCTACCCACCTAGTTTTTTCATATGTATTTCGGGTAAAGCGTGTTTTCTGTAGATTTTAAAAGATGTTCTTGTTCATAATACGAATGCATCTTGATAGCACTCATTAAAAGACGGAAAGATATATCGAAACTAACATAACTCGTAATATATATCAGGGATTCTCATATAGATAAGTGCAGCATCAATATCTTCTAGTTTTATCTTTTTATAGCCAATTAGTTTAAGCTCGAAATTTAGTTATGCAAGTACAAAAACAATGGAACTCAGTAGAAATCACTTCAATACTCTCTAAATGCTAACAAAAGTCTTTGTTAATGAATCTAGATAAGTATAGAAATCAAATCACTAGTATATGGAATAATAAAAAATAATTTATATCTATATAGAACTAAGAACTTTTACTTTATACTACAAAGATGGGGGGGGGGGGGGGGGGTTGTATATCACATTTGAATAAAGTAGTAAAAGTGATCCAATATGCAACTTGCAAAAAGGTGATTCTTTGACAAGAAATAGTGGGGGTTAGTTTGTCAATTACCAAAAAGTTTCTTGTTGCCTTAAAATTTGAATTCTTTGGTTAGTGGGTGGGACCAAAAATAGTATGCAAAAATAATGTAGGTGGACAACGAGTCCTTTTCATGACTGTCCTGGCAACAGTAATGGTTGCAAATACCACCAGTTAGCAAACAACATGAGAAAGTGGTAAGATTATTTTCAATAAAGAACATACTATTCAACAATGGGAACTCTTGCAATAATTTTCTTTGTTTTTTTTTTTTTTTTAAAGAGTGATTTGACTTCAATAGAACGCGCGGAAGAGAGAGATTTATCAATAGTACTAACATGGCATTGATTCGAATATTCAAATAGATCTAGATGAACAAAAGTGAATGATAAAAAGCAATTCCCGATGGTCAAATTTGGTCAGGTGATTACAAAGGAAGCGAGAAAAATCATTGTCTTGCTGAGTTGGAAACATTGGAAAAGTAGTGTAACTGTATGGTATAAGACCTCTAGTAATATTGGGATCGAGAAAATTTATTATTTTGGAAGGATTATTAATTTATTAATTCATTGTATGAAGTCACTTTTAGTCAACGCTACCAAAATATGATAAATATCGAGTACCTCTTGAATCATTCTAGTGCAACTGATAAATAATGGAGCGGGCCAGCCTATTGTCGAAGAGATTACTGAATACGTATACAAAGGATGTAATGACTTAGATGATGACTCACAAGTTGGATTAAGCATATGGCAATATGCCAATTTGTCCCACTTGTATTCACAATTTCCCATCATGGAACATAGAAATTTCTATATATTGTGCCACTGCCGTCAAATCCTCCATCCCCTCAGTTACTGTTGTTGAATTTACATCGAAACAAATAAGTATATTTTGTATAACAATTTAAAATTTTGAAACCAGAAAGTTCAATATAGTATAACATAAGTTCACGACTCGTCACTATTTATTTGTCAAAATTTATAAATGTGAGACCCGTGATAAAAAGTGCGTTGCATAGTTGAGAGGCAAATGTTTATAAAAAGTTTAAATTATAAATAGAAGAAATGAGTGATGAACAAGTGGAAAATATTCGCGGATCCCATGAAATTATAGATAAAAAGTGATTTAATTGATTATAAATAGGTTATAAACATTACCAAGCAAAATTGAATAAATATTTTTGCTCGAATAACTTAACCGTTTAAACAAGGTATGTAGCCACTCTATTCGAGAAATAGCATTCAGCACATAATAGTTCAAGACTAGCATAAATTATTTATAACCAAAAAGCTAATAATACAGAGGGATCTTGAACACAAGTAGGAAGTATAACAAAGTTTCTAGATGGACAACTTGTACCTCAATTATTTTCAATAAATATACTGAAAAATTATGTAAGAACTTCTCTTGATTCTTTTTTATATACCTTTTGGCTCTAAACTCATTTCCAAAGAACCTTTTTTCTTGACAATGTAACACTCTTGATGCGGCATCTAGTCATAGTACAATTCCCCGTCGTCGGAATGAACCTTTCATTGATATGTTAAAATCTTGTTCATTGTACTATTAAATCATATTGCATACCAAACATATTCAGAGTGCATCACTTGCTAACGTGTCGTGCGTCTTGTGCTAGTTTCTGAGTAACATCAGCTAACTTTAGCCTTCATAAACACCTTCACATGATGTCGAATAACTCTGTACTTGGTTTCTATCTGCATTGTGAAATCGCTCATGTGGGGTAGGCGGCATTCGGAAAACTGTACCGTGATGTCCTAACTCGAGTACACAGGGACTAATACTTTGCATGTGATGGTTACGCTGATTTAGTACTGCAAACGAAGGTGTGCCTGGAAGATGTGTTGTGATTAGGCTGTTATTCGGTAAGTTGGACGCTTTTGTCCCTCCTTCATTTGGCTGATTAGAGTCTATATTCTGTTGAAAGTGCCTAACCAAGGTAGATTTATCCGGTGCATGAGGTCTATCTGTGTCTGATTTCACTTCTATAAGATTGACGGTTGTGATATCATGTATACTCGATCTTTTCTTATCCTTCCTTCCGGAAAGCTGTCTGATGAAGTACTTCTGAGCATGACTAGCAACCTGAGTCGGAGTTCTCGTTGTTACAAAATTGCGAGAGATATTTCTCCAGTCTCCTCTTCCATACTTTTTCAGCCCCAACAGAAATTGCCTGAGGTTTCACCATCAATAGATAACATCACCACTAGAAAGAGAAGAATAAAATGAGAAAAAACATGATGTCCATGTTAGTTTTATAATACAGGCTTGGACTCGACAGACTGAACATCTTTTTCTTTCATAGTTCTTGTTTGAGCCCCATTTTTGGGTCAAAATGTATTTTAATATAGTGTTTTTGTTTCAGAATGTGTGGCTAAAAAGTAATGAAGAGTTTTAAATTTACCCGTAAAATTATTTTATTAGATAATGTATGATTGAAAATGAATTTTAAAAAAACGAGTTTTTGGAAGAATGGGATCAATCTTAGGCTTCATATTGTATAAGGCAGTTCATTGTACTTTAGATTTTCCAAAATAAAGACTGTAATGTGAGGATTTCTCAACTCTATTTTGTACTATAACGGCGTTAAACTAGAGTAACATTTCAAATAATACGCTGTAACAAAAATACGGATTTGAGGGTTTTAGACTAGATAGTTTAACATAGCATTAAAGCAAACAAAAATCTTGAGTTAATTCAAGTATCCCAGTCACAAACCAGTTACAAAGAGTTTTAAAACATTTAGACCAGGTGATTTAACATGGTATTGGACCAGGCAAAGATCTCAAGTTGAACTCAACAGCACCCAAAAATGCAAATTATGTACACTTCTGTTCTTTTGATGAAAAAGTAGATTGGATGTGTTGAAGATCGAATTTAAAATAAAATTGTATTTCCGCTCAAGCAGTTTCTAAACGTTTAGACGAAGTGATTCAACACAAATTACCTGTGCTCTTCTTGGGTCCATGGCACGCCCTTTTTCCTTTCATGTTCCGAAGATCGAGCAGACGAGTTCCGACTACAGGCTACACCTTTTCTCAACCCATCATAGCCTAGGCTATTCACCCAGTCCATTGTCAAAGAATCATTGGTGTAACCTGGTATTGGTATTAGCCCTGCTTCTATATCACTAACATCTTCTACCAATTTCATATACTGTTTGATCACATCACTTACAGTCTTTCCCGGGATCATGGCTGCCACATTGTACCATCTATCTGGAGTATCTTTGTCAAATAATGCAAGAGCATTCTCAAACCTTTTGTTCTCTTCTGGAGTCCACTTTGTCACCTTACTATCTTGAAACATCCAATTTGATGTACTGACACGTGATGCAGGAGACAAAAACCCCATTCCTCTGTTCATTGTATCTGGGCATGAGTTAGTCAAGTTTCTGAAAAACCTCGGTAGCAAAAGACTTGACTAGATAGGGAGGAAATATATAGAAGGTGAAAGTTTCTTATGAAGGAATAGCATTAGATCGGATCAAGAAGCATTGGAATAGAATCTGATTGCACCGTACTGAACAGTATTATAAAAAAAGATAATTATGGAGTTATATCCAGTAGTGCATACCGAATATTATGCCCTGTATGTTACTTGAGAGGAAGTGAAGAATCAAGAACATAATTTTCCTAAAGCCCGAAGAAAATTCAGGGATTGTTGAAAGAGTAGAACTTACTCGAGGATGATGGTTTTGAAATTCTTGAACACACACACAGAAATTTGTGGCTGCTTTTCTTCAATAGAGAGAGAAAGAGATAGATACAGAGAGAGAGAGAGACTAAAGTAGAATGATAAAATCCAACCCAATTACTGAGTTTATAGAGATAATCATGCAATATGTACATTTTATTTTACATCATTTTTTACATCGCGTCACATGACAACACATGATTGGACAATTTTTTATTTATTTTTAATAAAAAAGACAATTTCCCACTCAATTCTTTTTGAGTTCCAATAGAGTGTACACAAAGATATCAATCAAAAGATATACATTAGCATTATTCTTATGGGTTGTGCTTGTATACAGCAAGAGTGACAGCCCCTTACATGATAGGGTTGTACAAGCAGAATAACCCTATTCTTATAGTGATGAATCATCCATGTTATTTCAGTTAAGTTGGTTAAGAGAGAATGATCTTTTAGCGAAGAAAACAGTGTTATAGGCTTAAACAGAAAAAGAGGGTTCCAACACATAAAATTTGTAGAGAAATGATTGGCTGCAAGGTGTCCGGGACAGCAGGTGAAGAAAATAATAGAGAGAGAAGGTGAACGGTTGTGCCTAATCAAAAAAGTAAAAGGACAAACTGTCACTAGGATACTAAGATCAATTATTCTAGACGGACAGGGCCGACATAGCGCTGTCCGTCCAGCACGATTCATACCAGATGCATATATATGGGCCATTTTGTAATTTAATTAATTAAAGGGGAGAAAGTTGTGCTCGTGACTTTTTGAGGAAAATTCTGATCGTACAGCACAAGTCACAGGGGGACACCTGTCCCCCTTGTTTGCCCATGATTTTTTCTCCTGTACGTATAGTGCAGTCCACATTAAGAAATGCCCCTCAATTATTTATCAATAGAATCGTGCTATATACACCATATTAGTTGACAATTTAGATTGACAGATCCTGTTTGTTTTTCATTCTTTAATCAAAAAAATAAAAAATATGACATTTATTCATCTCATCAAGTTACCATTTTTTACTTCATCTCTCTTGTGTGGATCTTATAATGACTATATTTTTTATTCTCATTTTTATAAGAATGAAAATCAAACAGGGGCTCAATATTATCATATTCATTTATTTTAAAAAATTATTTTCTATATTATAGGTTTGAATTTTGACAACACATGATTGTCATCCAATGTTGTAAATCATGTTTGTACACTTAGCTTTATTCTTATAAAAAATGCTAGATGTACACTCGAAGTGTATATTTTGCTTGACATTTGACGTGCTGTAAAAAAATGATTAGAGGGAAAATTAATATTATTATTTTTAATTGTCAAACTTGATGTACACAAAAGTGTATACCAAGCAGAATTGTAAAAAATATATTACCCTCGTACATATATAATGAAAAATGCTAAATGACCCGCAGCGATGACCCCATGGATGACCGCACACTCACAATCGAAGCGTGGGTCCCGTGTGAGAAAAAAAATATTTTCCCCCTCCTGTGTGTGTATTATGTCAACCGCACGGTTCGTCTAGCATGGTTCATATATAATTGTGTGGTTTTACTTTTGTTTTCTCATTACAAGGACCAATAATATGGGATAATAAGAAGTTATATACTTCTAAACATCTTGGATAATAAGTTGATAAGTAGAAGGTCTTGTTTCATGACATTGCTTTTTGAGAAGTCAAAAGAAGTTTTTAAAATTCAAAAATTATTTTTGGATCTGTTTGCAGCTCTTTCGGAAGAGAGAGCTTCTAAATTTTGGGAGAGTTGACAAAAATTAGTTTGCAATATTTTGGTTGGGACAATGGGGGGTGGATGCAGAGTGGGGTTTGGTTTATGGCCTCATGGGAAAAAAATATTTTTTAAATATTAATTAAAATAATTTTCTCATAAAAACTCTTTTAGGGTAAAATAATAAAAGTAAAAACAGAAACAGAAACCCTATTAAGCGTGCACTAAAGCTCTACATAATCTGCAGATTAGTGAAAGTACAATGTGCCAAATATTAACACATGTATTGTTGTACGAGATAGATGTCAGGCAGAAAAAGGTTTTGGTTTCAATAATTGATTGTTAGCATAAAATAATGTTTTTATTTTTGTTCAATTTCCCAAGTTTTTAGCCACGCGTGAACCCAATAAATAAAAGAACCTTGCTTTGATAGTTGGTGAATTATTGACACACATGAGAGAAGAAAAGGGTTCGTTTGCAGGTAAATACCTCTTTCGAATCTATAAGATTTTTTTATTGTCTGCTGAATTTAAACCTTTGTTTGTCAATCATTATATTACACTTTATCACATTATTTTTTCTACGGTTCTTATTTTTAATCACATATTTTTCGTTAAAATAATATTACACATAAATCAAAAAAATTTCTTTTTTTTTTAACCACTCATTTCAACATCAATCAATATTCCATAATACACTTTTTAAAATTAAATGGCACAAACAAGCCCTAAATAAAAAGATTCAGTCAAAGCTTTGCAAGGAAGCAAAGCGACCTTTATTGATACTTGGTTCAATGTCTTATAGGACTATCTCTTATTCATTCTTGAGATTGTTTTGTAGAAAAAAAAACCCTTTAATTGCTGTTTGGAAAATGATGCTTCTGGATCAAACTGAGCATTTGACCCCTTTTCAAGATTTTCTCATATGATACTTTTATGCTCACTTTTATGGACTTGCCACAGAAGATGTAGAATAGGGATGTGAACGAATTGGATCAGGGCGACTTGACTGTTGAGGTTTGAAGCTAGGGCGCGGTCCGAACAAAAAATGGTTTGAACTTTTTTTACCCGAGCTGAGCCAAAGCTCATAGAAAAATTTGGGTTCGGCTCGGGCCTTATCGAGCGATCCCAAACCGACTCAATTATTTATTTGTTTATTTATTTTTGTGATATGCAGTTGCTAGCTGCCTGAAGAGGCTTAGTTCAGGCAGGCTGCTTGCAAAGGCCCTATGACACAAGCCACGAGCTAGCTTAGGCTAGGGTCATCACCCTAAAATAGCCTCGGCCCTAGCTGCGAGTCTAATTGACTCTGACTTTTTATTGGTTGAACCGTGGGTCTGTTTGAGTCGTGGAGTTGGATCGACATTCCTAATGAGGGAAGATGACAATTTTGATTCTGCTTAAAATCCACAAAAGTATCCCATTACTTATAATAATTAAAAATTTAGCATTATTCGAAATAGCTGATATTCTTATATCACTTTTTCTTTTTGAGAAAATGTTGAATATAACATATCCCAGTGGAGACTTTCCACGAATAGAAAGATTCTTATTTACCACATTTTCCAAAAACTGCACAATTAGATATAGAGAGGGGTTTGGGGTTGGGTCGTACAGGTTGTGACCCATTAAATTAGTTGTTAGTGGCATCCATTATCCAATTCGAAGAATAATTGTGGCACTTCAACCAGTTGTGACCAATCAATTTTCTAGACGTGTTCTCTACCTTTTTCTATGTTAATAGTAGAATTGATTTTCATCTCATAGGCTAAACAAGATGCCCCTTTAGCCCCATTTCATCTCATCAAATTAAATTACTTTTTTCTCTCTTTTATTTTCAACCACGTAATCTTTAATAAAATAATATTATACATAAATCGAAAAAAATTCATTCTTTTACAGTCATTCATTTTTTTTAAAAATACCGTTCCTTTCGTTATAATCAAAATTAATTGGGGCCAAGTAACTTAAAAAGGATTCACAAGAGTCAATACGTAACTATCATCTAATTCTAAAGTGTTCACTTGGTCGAAAACATCTTCATCAATAAGGGTGGAGTTATGTGAAGACTAAAGGAAGCAAAGCAACCTTTATTGATACTTAATTTAATGTCTTATAAGACCATCTCTTGTTTAGGGATGGCAATGTTGTGGGTTCAGGGCGGAACTGGCCTTGTCAGGCATTTTACTACCCCATTACCCGTTTAAGACGGGGTGAGACAGGGCATTTGCCCCGTTTATTTTTTTTATGTTTTTGATAATTCATTTTATTGTTTCTATTCATTAAAGTGAGACAAAAATATGTTATTAAATGTTTTAATTTATGTATTTATTATTAAAAGTTAAATTATTCGAATATATTTGGTAAATTAAGATCTTTATTGTTTATCATATTTTTTAGATAATATTAGTTGTCATATTCTATTAAAATTAATAAAATTTCGTGAAGTTTTTCATTTAAATTATTGATTTCTTTAAAAAAACAAAATTAAACGGGCTAGTCCCCTGTGCCCCCATACCCTCCCTTGGGAGGAATCTCCCTCATGGGTATTGGGTATGATGAATTTTTTTTTGCTATCCCTTGTTGCATGATTATTTCAAGAATTTCTCATATGATACTTTTATTGTAACACCCCGAATTCTCTAGCAACCCGGAACGTTACCAAACGTGAATTGATTAATAAAGTGCTTGAGGCAAATACATTTTAATATAATGAGGAATTCAGTAAAAATTGAACAACCTTAACAAAAGGTAAATTAAATTAAATAACATATGCGGAACAATTTGGAATCATATCTTTTATCAAACATTAATAAAAGTAGTTCTAACAAATAATAAAATAGGACTAATTGAAAGTTATGACGTGACTCACAATTGAGTCTAAATATAAAAATAATAATAATCAACTGTTATTAAATATTCTAGTGTTTCTAAAAATTAAAGTACTTCATGAAGGAGATCCATTGGTCCAATATGCATCCATCCACCGCCGTCCAGCATACTAATTTCTACCTGAAAATTGTAAATAGAGAGGGATGAGTATAACGAATTATACTCAATGAGATGCTTGCTATTCCACATTCAAATCAAACGTGAAATTATGCATAAATTCTCTTACCAACATAACATGAGAATTATCACACCATGACAAATGATAATTCAAGCAAGCGCTGCAAATAACGTGAAGGCTAAATTGTGCCTTAAACTGTATCATGATTTCTCCCAAAGGAGCTCTGAACTGAAGTAATTAAATCCATACATAACAACGTATTTGAAAAGATGTGGACAAACCACTAATAGCACTGAGCATCTCACCTTTTGAAGATGAACGTGGAAAACAAAATTGCTGAAAACGCGATTCTTTATT